TATATATATATATACTTTCGTCACCCACTAAGTTTAGCGTAAGAAAACTCTAAAAAAAAAGTGTACATGGCAAACAAGTGTATATAAAGAGATAATTATAACGACTGATTCACGTCGAACGTGAATCTTCCACGTAAGGCAGAAATTGTTTGAATATTCTGTCTGTAGTGAATATAGTATATTATTTATGAAGCGATATATTTTGTGGTATTACTATTTGGATGACACTTTGCATTGCGCTATCAAGAAACTTTGGACTGGTATATCTTATTATTACAACAAAGTGGAAAAATATTCAAGAAAATATAGAAATCCGAAGATAGATAGAGAGAGAAACGCCTGGCGTTTTATTATTTAAATAAAAAACGTTTTTTTTTTTAGAGCGATATTATTTCATTTAAAACGCTAATATTATTAATAATTTTATTTCTATGATATTGTTATGTACGTAACGACATATCTGCAATCAAGCGGATTTCGTCCGCTTCAAAATAGTACGCATCAGTTTTTGTTTTACGTTGTTTTATGTTTTTCATTTTATGTTTTATCATATATTCGTGAGCACATAAGTTTGATATAATTATATCAAATGATGAACTTTCGATGAGACCTCAAATATATACATGTGACAAAGGAAAGTACACGACGATTTTATTTTGTGATTCTTTGGCGATGAAAAGAGAAACGTCTATGAAAATTTAGAAATTATTTTAATAAAAATAACGCAATCTTATTATCTTGTAAACTGTATCGCATATGTGATTTTATTTTTCTCAAGATAAATGCAAGAGATGGCTCCAGTCCAAGACGTTAGTATATAATATCATTTTTAATATGTTAGATTAGCACATTCATTTGTTAACGTTTGTTAAAACTGTGTATTATACTTTATCATGCTATCATTTGTATATATAGAGCATAAGGAAATAGGACTATTAGACATTTCAAAATAAATTCATGATACAATCAATGGCAATCAGTTTTTCTTCGTATCCATCTTTCGCGTACGCGCATGTTTTATATGTTAAATTATGTATATATAATTAACAGGGAATGGAAATACACATAATGGGGAGGAAAACAAGAAATCGTGTTTCAAAATTGTCCAGAGCTTTCTTAATTCTTAACTCCCCCTTCTTTTTTTTTATAAAAGCTTATTTAATTTCGAAAAAAGTTGTCGAGATCGATATTTTAATCAAGCTTTTTTTTTCAAAATGATTGATGTAAAACGGTGGGTGAAAAATAAAAAATAATCATGTTTCAAAATTTAGTCTTCAAATCTTAATTTTTTTTTCAATAAGAGTTTATTCAATTTCGAAAAAAGTCGAGGTCAAATTGAGTTAGAATTTTTTCAAAATGGTGACTGAAAAAATAGAAATTACAATTTAAATTTGATTTGTACTAAATCGAATATATAATGTATATAATATTCTTGATGTCGCAAATTATGAATTTTATCCTTAATATTAACTCTCAACTACATATCTTGTTTTGACATCTTAATTTATATGTCTTGATTCTAGTCACCCACGGCGTTTTTAATTGGCTTTGTAATTGTCACAAATCTCAATTTTTTTTTTCTAATAAAATGCCAAAATGTATAGAATCGAAATATCAAAACATAAAAAAATAATTTTGATAATAATTGAAAAGGTTAAAAAATATTAAAGAATAATTTGTGAAGAGTTCAACAAATCAGTTTTTTTTTAAATTATTTTTATGATAAAAAAAGTTTTTATGATAACAAAGTATATTGATTTATTCCAAAAAGTATAATTTGCACGAGTAAAAAATACATTATATTAATTCATTCCAAAAATATAATTATTTACACGAGTGAAATGGGACATTTTTATATCCCAGCAAACGAGAATTGAAATGGATTAAAATGGATTCAGATATTCAGAAATACGGTTCATGAATATTAAAATGAATTCTTTTCAATCCTGAATGTATTTTTATTCATTTACAGGAATTGTATAAAGCAAATGTCTATGCCTTTTCAATCCTGAATGCATTTTTATTCATTTATAGGAATTGCATAGCTATGCCTTTTAATCTAAAAATAATATTAGCATTTTCTGTGCAACGTGAATACTGCTCAATTCAATATTCTGAATATTCTGAAATGCAGTTTTTCAATCTAATTGAATAAAAAAAATTTTTATTTAAAAATGAATATATATAAATGCTACTTAAATTATTCAAAATTATAAGTAAGAAATTTTTCGTTTTAATCCAATTAAATTCAAAAAAGTTGTAACGTAAAAATAATTGAGCTATGTTCTTTTGTTTCTCTTTGATTAGAAGTAAATGAATGATTGATGTGATGAACACTCGCAAACCAACTCAAACAATCTGAATATTAGGCTAATCACGACGCGCGACATCACTCAAGCGAGATTAGATTATCCGACACTTATCCAATGTTGTCTCATAGTAATGTAAATTGTTTATACTTATTATATCTATATAATTTCGTTATCAATTTAGCTGATTGTAATTGAAGTAGAGAACGAATAACATATTTACTAATTGAAGAAGTGATGTAGCAAGATTCATAATCCAGAGATCCCAGGTTCGAATCCCACTAGGTGCGTTTTTTTACCAATTTGAAATAGTTAATTTCAGGTATAATTATTATAAATGTCTTAAGAATAAAATTTGTAATCCTTAAGTATGAATATTTTTTTTTTCGAATATTAAACTAGTGTCAGCTTGGATCCAATCCGTTTCAATCCATTCAATTCATTTTCATGGATTTATGGATTAAAAAATTTTAATCCATTTTAATCCATTCTTGTTTGCTAAAATATGCTCGGAATAATGATATGTCGGGTATTTTCTTTTTTAGAAATGCAATGTGATTGTGTAATATTTACTCAGGATTTTATAACTCCGAAAAAATAGAGCGATCGATTCACCAAGATGCCTCTCTCGCAAAAATTCTTTTTTTGACAATGAATATATATTTTAATTATAAAGAGAGAGAGAGAGAGAGACAACACATATGCTTGAATATAGCACTAATAAACAGGCACTTACTAAAAACGAATTTTCATTTTCGATAAAAATCTGTTGAAGTTGCATTTGATGAGTCCAAGTCACCCAAGCCAAATTTTTATTGCATCACAATTATAACATCAAAACAACGACACAATTGCATCACGGCGATCGACAGAGAGAAAAATTCCAAGTTTTTTTTACCCTTTCACTTTAACTCTGCAATATTAACCGTACAACAATAGCGGCCGACTAAAATTTTCATCCGGGTCCAAATAATAATTTCGCATTTCAGCACTTAATTAGCACCTAATTTTGGAATGTGTTAGAATTCATTTAGCGCTAGTGGGGGGAAAGGGAGGTTAACTTAACAGGGGTTCCAAATGCCAACCCACTCATGTATAGTTGAGAATTAAAATGACAAAATTCATTATAATAAATCCAATATTTCATGAATAATAAAAATATAAATATAAATAAACTTACTGTTATGAATCGATTTGCACAATATTTACATGTAAATAACATTTTTAATATATTTAACACATTAAATATATTAAACATATTATTTAACATATATTTAACATATTTTTAATTTTTATGATCGTACAATTT